CACCAAGTAGAATGATTGATGTTCACAGGTGGCAGATCGGTGAGAGTCTGCTGCTGGTCATGGGGGTGTTTAGACTGCCTCACATCCTCTTGTGATTACAGTCTAGAGAGCAGCTCCAAACCCACAGGAGCCCCTAGAACACTGTCTCGAGGACCTTTTATAGTAATCAGTGGAATCTTAAGAGCCTCCCAGAGGATAAGAAACTTCCAGATCCCATGTTGACTTCTCAAGCATGAGGTATTTGAGGACTGATTGAATGAAGCTGGGTACGTTGCCACTCCATTGTTAATAGGAAATGGATTGCATTGGAGGCAATCAGTTTTTGCCATCACTGGCTGTTCTAATACCGAAGAACCTTAAGACCTTTATCTACGAACTAGAAAAAAAATAGCCTTGGTATCTTCCATTTTTTTAAAAAATGAAAAGTTAATTAAACACAGGCTTTGCGCTAAAAAAAAATTGATGTGACAGAATGTCATGTCAAGAAGTAAGGACAACAAAGGTAAAGTTGTCTGCCTTTTAGCCCCATTATTCTGGACTATCTTCTCCAAAAGATAAATGATCATTGTATACTACAATAATTTGTTAGCAGAGGAAGAGAGCTACAGACCCACTTAATAAATTAGAGGAAGAAGTCCTAGATTAGCATCAAGAGAGATGAATTCAAATCCCTTTTCAGACACTATTCAAGTGACCATGGCCACTTGCTTGATTTCTCAGAGGCTCAGTTTCCTCACCTGTAAAATGGAAATAACAATAATAATAACAATAATATTTACCCCATGGGGCTTTCAAAAATATTCTCAGAAAGTAGATAAATTCCAGAACTTGTAGTTCAGAGGGCCTGGTTTAGAAACTGACCTCGGCCTCTTACTATATGACCCAGGGAAAGTGATTTAACTTTTCTGCCACAGTTTCCTTATTTGTAATTGGCAATGATAATATCTTTAGTACTTACCTCACAGGGTTGTTCTGAGGGTCAAATGACATCTATAAATATATAAATACATGTATATATACACATGTATTGTATATACATATACATATATGTGCATATTGATGTATATATACATCTATATTATATATGTGGTGTATATATGCACACTTGTATATGTGTGTATGTGTTTTGCAGGCTTTAAAGTTTGTCATTAAAGCAGGATTCTGGAAAGATCACTACATCTTTGGATTCAGGGGATCTGGCAAATTACTGATTATGTTTCCACGTCTATAAAAATGAGGCGAATAAATTATATGGACTATATGGAAGGATCCTTCCAGCTCTGAATATGTGCTCCTGTGTTAGTTACTATATACCAGCTGCAGCATCATTACTATCCTGGGCTTATTCCTAAGCAATTACTGTCAGCTACATAATTTAATGGGATAACTTCGAGACCAAAGTATGAAAATACCCACACTGTAGATGCCGCCTTATGGCTAAAACATGCTTGGAGAGCACCAGTCAATTTCCTAGAAGAACCACACCTATTCCCATCCATCTTCTAACTCCAACTGCATTGCCTTTCCTCTTGTGCTAACAGTTAGATTGTTTGGCATAGGAGGTTGGGGGTGGGGTGCAAAATAAAGATTACTTTCATCAATTAGATTACTATTCCAGACTCCACTCTCCTTTGGTTGTAGTATTTTTTTATTGAAAGTGTCATTAACTTCAAGTCATTGAAAGAAGGAATTTGAAGTCTCTGCTCAAGTTAACTATGGAAAGTATCTTCAAAGGACTGTGCTGTGAGCTAAGTGTCTAGGCATTGAAGCATACTTTCTTGAATTGTACAAAGAGACTTCTAATGTCTGTAGTACTTACTTCATAGGGTTAGTGTGAAGATCAAAGGAGATGGTATATGCAAAGTGTTTCGCAAACTTCAGAGTATTGTAAAATGTCAGCTATTATATATTCATAAACCTTAACATGAACCTGTTTCTGAGATTATTTGGAGGAAAAATTCCCAGTTCCCTTCCCAAGGTAACAACATCTATTGACTCACCCTAGGTATTTGCATGGAAAGATCATATTTCACATATCTCAGATGGTGAGTTCCTACCCTCCCACCACCACTGAAAATCTTTTGTCATTTTACAGAATATTAGAATTAGAAGAGAACTCATAGTTCATCTAGTTAAGTGTCCCTGCCAAATCAGAGACATTTCTACCAAGGGGTAATTCATCTCAACCTGTGCTGAAAGCTCTCTGGGGAGGAAAAATTACTACCTTCTAAAGCATCTCATGGTACTTTGGTATGGCTCACATTATGAGACAGGTTTTTGTTTGTTTGTTAGTTTGTTTCCCCTTGTATTTTACAAAAAATCTACCTGGTTGTACCTTTAACATCCTGCTCCTAGTTCAGCTCTCTGAGACCAAGTAGAGCCATCTAGCACCTCTTCCCATTTACAGACTTTGCTCGCAGGTTACCCCTGAACCTTCTCTTCCTCAGCCTAATCATTCCCAGCACAATTGAATGAAAATCCTTTTTTTGGGGGGGGGGGGAGTGAAGCAATTGGAGTTAAGTGACTTGCACAGGGTCACACAGCTACTAAGTGTCAAGTGTGTGGTCTGAGACTGGATTTGAACTCAGGTCCTCCTGACTCCAGGGCCAGTGCTCTATACTATGCTACCTAGCTGTCCCTTGAATGAAAATCCTTGAAGTCATTTGATAGATTCTAATATGGTAAACCCCTAAGTCTTCTCATTATCCTCATCATCCTTTTCTAAAAGGCTCCAATTTGGCAATTTCTATCACAAAAATAAGGGCAGGTGGGTGGAAGTGGATAGAGTGCTGCCCCTGGAGTCAGGAGGACCTAAGTTCAAATCTAGCCCCAGACACTTATTAGCCGTGTCACTCTGAAGTCACTAAATATGTTTGCCTCAGTGTTCTCATCTGTGAAATGAGCTAGAGAAGGAAACGCCAGTGTCTTGGACAAGATAACCCCAAATGGGGTCACAAAGAATTGGACACAAATAAAACAACTAAACAACAACTAATAATGATTATTATTATTCCTACAGAGTGTAAGTTTAATAGCTTAGAACTTGACAAAAACTTTTGGGATACCTTGTATAGTGTTTTAAGGTTTGCAAAGCATCATACATATATTATCTCATTTGATCTTCTCAACAAATAGAATACTTCAGATGTAGCTTGACCAGAGCACATTATAGCGGTATAGTCTCTATTACTCTGAACGAGGGTTTCTTAACCTGGACCTACAAAGGGTACACAGATAGATTCCAGGGTGTCCATGAACTTGGAGGAAGAAAGTAATTACATCTTTCATTTTCACTAACCTTTGAGTCAATTTGTAATTTATTTTGTGCATTTAAAAATATGATTCTGAGAAGGAGTTCATACACTGGTTTTGCCAGACTAACACATGGGGTGGGAATCCATGACACAAAAAAGAGAAAGCCCTTCTTCTGAACACTTTCGTTCAATGATGCAGCTAAAAATCTTACTAGCTTTATTGACTGCCATATCATATTCTTCATTCATTGAACATGCCATTCCCCCAATACCCTCATCGTTTTCACATGAACAATTGTTGAACCAACTCTCTCCCATCTTGCACCTGAGCAATTGATTCCACTCAAAAAATACTCAAGAAAATAACACCTTAAAAATAGACTAACCCAAATGGCAAAAGAGGTCCAAAAAGCCAATGAGGAGAAGAATGCCTTCAAAAGCAGAATTGACCAAATGGAAAAGGAAGTCCAAAAGCTCACTGAAGAAAATACTTCCTTAAAAATTAGAATGGAGCAAATGGAAGTTAATGACTTTATGAGAAATCAAGAAATTGTAAAACAAAGCCAAAAGAATGAAAAAAAAATAGAAGACAATGTGAAATATCTCATTGGAAAAACAACTGACCTGGAAAATAGATCCAGGAGAGAGAATTTAAAAATTGTTAAGCAATTGATTATTTACATTGACTGTTGGTCATAGTCATTAGAACATAAGTGGAGGTTTTTTTGAGATTTTTTTTTGCAAGTAATTCTTTTTTTTCACTTTTTATTAATTTATTTTGATTTATCAACACTCACTTCGATAAGCTTTTGAGTTTTAAATTTTTCTCCCACTCCCTCCCCACCTCCTTCTCCAAGATGCCATGCAATCTGATATAGGCTATACATTTTCATTCCTATTAAGCATATTTTCACATTGGTGATGTTGTAAGTAAGAATTAGAATCGATAGGAGGAACCTATCTATTAACCTATTGGACTTGGGGCACTTTTCCACACTAAATTGCATCCATTAGTTTGGAAAAGGCAGTGAGATAGAATAGATAAAGGATCAAATTTGAAGTCAAGATGAAATAGTTTTCAATCCCATTTCTTATATTCACTGACTGTGGAATCATGGGCAAGGGAATCTCCCTTTCTGAGCTTGTCTCCTCTTCTGTAAGATGAGAAAAATAATAACTCCACCATCTACCTAATAAGGGTTATGGTATGTGTGTGTATGTGTATGTGTGCATGCATGCATGTATGTGTGTGTGCATTTGTGTGTGTTCATAAGGCTCAAACAAGATACTATATGTAAATTGCCTTGCAGACTTTGAAAAATTCTTTAAATGTCAGTTAGTATTATGAGAAATACAGTCCATTATACCAGCTTTCTAAAATCTCTTAGGTACCTAATTCTGCCATCCAACCTATTATCTATTCTTCTCAACATTATGTCATACACACACTTAAGTTGTCAGGTTTTTTTTTTTTCAAATCATTGATAGAAACATCAGTTTAGAGCTGGCGACAGATCCCTAGGCCCCTCCACTAGAGACCTCCAAGTTCTTTCAAGCTATCTGAAAAAAAACATTAGTAGAAGAGAAACGACCTTATTTCTTCTATTTTAGAAGAGGCTCTCTTTGTCCCTCCCTGCCAAGTTCTGTCTGGGTCCTAACCTGCCTGGCTCCATCTGGATCCCAACCTGTCAGGTTCTCTCTGGATCTCTCCCTGCCAGGAGTTAATTCTTCCCCACTCTTCTGCAGATGTGAACGAATGCGCCATTGACAATGGTGGCTGTCAGGACCGGTGCTGTAATACAATTGGCAGCTATTACTGCAAATGCCAAGCTGGCCAGAAACTGAAAGAAGATGGAAAAGGCTGCAAAGGTAACAACACTCAGTTCTGCCTGCTTGCTGATAAGCCAACGGAGAACATCTTCCTAATGCAGACACAGCAGGTTGGGGGTGGCTTGGGGAGGGGGGTGCTGGAGCATGCCTTTAATCCCGTTCCAGTTGGAGTACCTCTGCTCCGTGTTGTCAAGGGTGCAGATCTTCCTCTCATGTCTAGATTATAAAATTGTAACCCTAAGAACACTTCAAACAGCTTATTATGAGAAACATATGATTAGAGTCGGGCTTGGTTGTGTCATGTACTGATTACAGAATTTCAATCGTGCATTGAATTCCCTCAGTAAAGTGCCTGTTTTCTGAAAGTGCTTCATTTAGTTCTAAGGTGAAAATAATGCTTATGATAAAATACTCATAGATGTCAAGTCTGGGATTATAAGGGTACAAAATTAGCCAAAGGGAGGAGGGGAAAGATTCTCCCGCTTGAAGCTGCCTCTGTCAATAGCAATGTGTCTCCTAAGCTAACTCTTACCAAACCTCATTGGCATCCTCCTGTTTCCTAAGTCTTTCCCTCCCTTTCCTATCTAAGTTTGGTTGTTGGCTACCCAAAAGGAAGAAAGTGGGATAGCTCTGAATTCCTCCTCTCTTGGACTCCTCTAAGGAAGGATGTCTATAGTGATGATGCCCCCCCCAAAAAAAAACTCTAGTAAACAGAGTCTCTGAGAGCTCTGGATTAGCTGCCATCCCCATCCCCACCCCCCAAAGGCAGCATCAGAGCATCTTTGTGTGTTTAGGTCTGACTGGACAGGGAAGCCAAGCTAGCAGCCTGGGGCAGGTGCAGATAATCACACCCCTAGGGGGATAATTAAGGGTATGTGCTAGTGACTGTCAAAGCTGCCACCTTGTTTCTGGCTGGACTTGAGCAATTATCACAGCATTGGGGTACCATGTCTGGACAGCAGGGTGAAACAGGGCTCTGGTCATTAGGTGGTAGCAAGTACATTGAGGAGCTGTTTCCAGGATTCCTTCTCCTTTCTGCCCTGCACGGATCCTTGAAGTTTGCTCCTCACAATGTCACTTGTTAAAATAGACCATGCAGGCACTTTCTGTTTCCATTGGAAGCTCGTGCTGACCCAGTGAACCTTCAGTCACAATAGCAATGCCATCTGTCTCCGGTAGCGTAGCAGGTTGCCCTGGAATCCTTATGAAGGAGAGGAGAGGTTTCCTTTGTTTGTGTATGCCAGGGAGTTCCAGGGATGATCTGAGAACTGGGTTCATTACAAATGAATCACTGTGGGAAATGTCATCTGGAAAATTTGGCCCAAGACTGAAGGTGAGTTCACCTGAGAATGTCATCTAAGGCATTTCCTTCCCCTTCATTGTAAAGAAAAGAGCTCAAACAGGGACATGCATGGAATCCTCTCCTTCCTCAACTGTCTTCTTTGGCTTCCTTCAAGTCCAAGCTAATATTTCCTCTTCTGCAGGAAGTTTTTCCCAGTCTCCCTTCACTGGAGTGCCTTCCCTCTGGTGATTATCTCCAATTTATCCCATACATTTGTCTATAGTTATTTGTATGTTGTCTCTCCCATTAGACTGTGAGCTTCTGGAAAGCAAGGACTGTCTTGGACTATCTTTGAATCCCCAAAGCTTAACAGAATGCAGCTAGTAAGTTCATAGTAAGTACCCAGCAGGTAATTAACAAAGTTGTTGACTGACTTCCATCTGATACAGATGGTATCACCAGTCCTGGCCTCCTTAGCACTTGCTCTGTTTACATGGTCCTGGTTCCAGCCAAACAAGCCTACAACCTGGGCCCCCCACATGACATCCCATCATGCATCAACTTGCCTTTAGGCAGTCTGTCTCCCATGACTGCACTACACTACCCTTCACCCCCAGCTCAGAGAATCAGAGGCTCCTCATGCCAGAGGGAACAGAGTCCTGGGGGGGGGGCGTCTAGTTCAATCCCCTCATTTTACAGGCCTCCAAACTGGAAGCAACTGACTTGCCACACAGGTGTAAGCCTCAGAAGTGGGATGTGAACCCAGGTCCGATGACTCCAGTCCATTTTCTTTCCACTGTAACATTCTTCCAGAAAAAATTCTTAGATCCATTCCAAGATTGGTTTGTTTCCCCAGCAATTAGTGCCCCACCCCCAAATCATTTGTATTTACTTTGTATAGATTTGATACTTTCTTATCTCTGTCCATATTTGTTCCCCCTATAGTCAATCAATAAACATTTATTAAGCACCTACTATATGCCAGCCACTATGCTAAGTTCTAGATAAATAAATATGTAAAAATATAAATGAATGAATGAATAGAATGTGAAGTTCCTGGAAGGCAGATGTATGCTTTTATATGCACAATGCCCAGCACATAGTAGGTGTCTAATAAATACTTGATGAATAAATTAAGGAATCATTAGATTTAGAGGTAGAAACAACTTTAGAGAGAAGTTAATCCAACCCCTTCTTTTTTACAGAAGAGGAAACTGAGGCTTAACAAGTTTAATTGATTGGCCCAAGGCACAAAAGTAGTAAATAGCAGAGACAGGATTTGAACTCAGGTCCTTTGACTGTTGGTCCAGTGCAACATCCACTTTACCCAAGGTCTATTTCTTCTTTCAAGCTACCCCATTGGTGTTGACTATCACTGGCTGTCTTTGTTATGAATGATACTAAAACACGGATCTCCTCGACTTCATTTGATTTGTGTCATGTCATCATTCCTTTTGAAAATGTTTCCCCTCAGTGGCCTCAAGGAATCTCATCCCTCCCTTTCTTCCAGAGCTCGGTCCTGAGTCAGTGTCATTGACCAGTAGAGAACTTAGCAGGTGGCTCACACTAGCAGCTGGAGGTATGGCCCAATTGTTCAGAATAGAGACGGTTCAGATCTGTGAGTAGGATCTGAGAGATCCAGGGGAAAGATCTGTCTAGGCATGCAAAAGAAAGGAGCTGTCAATAAGTCAGGCTGAAGTCAGGGTCTTTGCAGCACTAGGCATAACATCTGGGGGACTTGTGGCTCCTCCCACAAGGGGACTAAAAGCAATTAGCTTCCTTTTCCCCTAGAAACGCAAATTTTATTTTGTTTTGTTTTCCCATTCCTAACACAAAATAATTTAAGCCTTAAAGAACCTAGATCTTTTAGAAGAATCAGTATGCCTAAGAGCTTCAGTACTTAATTATCCATCTGTAAAATGAGTGAGTGGGATTAAAGTCTCTTAGGACCCTCTAATTCCAAAATCTTTGAATTTTGTGATGGTGCCATTTGGTCCATCAGTCAGATTTTGGACTCTTCCAGGGGTTTTGAGCTCTCCAAGGTCTGTTTCCTAATGAAGGGGAGGCCATGGGTTCCTCTTCCTCAGACATCCTTCATAACTCATCCTTCCCTAGGGTCAAGGATTCTCAAAGTCAACAGAAAAAGTGAAACCTATCCGGAGCTGCATCTTAGACATGAGTTTCAGACATTCCCTTGGTCAGGAAAGAACAGTGTCGAGTTGTCCTGCCTTTAACATTGGTGTGCCCCAGTCAGATCAATACAGCCTAGTGAGAATCATGACACAAGTGATAAAGTAAGGGAGTGAAAGGCCAAATGAGTCTCCTAGAAGAAGTAGCAGCATCTCTGGGGAAAGTGGCTTTTCCTCCTCTGTCCCTGAGTGGTGGTGGATATGGTGCTGAATGTCTTACAGCCAGTAAGAGCATTCTGTAGCTCTCAATGAATGTGTATATATGTGTGCTTGTGTATGTGTACATGTGATTGGGGGGGGATGTAGATGGGTGTGAGTGGGTAGGTGGGTGTTGGATGTGGAGGGGTCATATGGAAGGGTGGGTGAGTCTGTATGTACATATATGGGTGAGTGTGTGGTGGAGTGTGAGGGTGAGTGTAGGGGGTAGGTAGGTATGAGTGGGTCTATGTGGTTTGTTGGGGGAGTCTCTGTGGGTATATGGGTGAGTGGAAAAGGTGGGTGTATATATACATATGGATGGGTAAGTGTGTGTGTGGGGGGGTGGTTGGGTGTGTGAGTGGAGGAGTGTGAATGTGAATGGGGGTGGTGAACTAGTTTATGTGTGTGTATATGTTTGGGTCAGTGTGGATGTGGGTGTGGGTGTGTGTTCTGCATTTCCCCAGTAGCTAGTTCATGGTCTGGCCCAGTGACCTCTCTAGAAGCACAGTCCCAGAGAAGATTTGCACTGTGATAACAGAACCATGACATTTGGCTTGAGAGTTTCACATCAGATCCTTGAAATGGAGATGGGGAGGGGGAGAGATGACCCCGAAGTGGGTACCTTGGCACCAGAGTAGCACCTTTCTACATTTCTTTGCCTGACTTTGATTAGAGTGAGTGGTGATGTCATCCCTGTTCTTTGTCAAGTGGTTTAGAGAAGTAACTGTCATAGCCTTATTTCAGCTGGTGCCCGTTGTGACAGATTAAGGTCAAGATCATGAAGGTGCTGGAACTTTTGAAACACAAATAGCATTCTAAGAACAAACTACCAGGCAAAAACAAAAACATGGTGGGAAACCAGGAAATGGGTCCTGGCCATGACCACCCAGTGCTGTCTTCTTGATCCAGACAACTGGCTCTTTTCCCTCATCGGGTTGATATCAACCCATGGTGTTTGTCTCAGTTGGGGGGGAGGGGGTACTCCTGTTTAAAATATAACATAGATTTGTTTATTAATATCTTATATATTTGTATGTAATATATTTATATGCTTATATATAATTTATTTGTAAATGCATATGTGTATATGTGTGTGTCCTCATTGCTTCATTTCCTGATCAATCTCAAAAAAGAAATGAATTTAGGGAGCCTGGGCCCTGAAGAGAATAATCAGTTTTCTCAATATTCTTAGACAAGTAGAGCATAGGCTCACTGTGGCTAGGTGGGGACTGTTTCTAATTTTGTCTTTGTCTGTCCAGGCCCCTGCATGGTACCTAGCATGTTCCAAATCCTTAATCAATGTTTATTGCATTGTTAGTCAAGTAGCTTCCTTTCCTTTTCTTTTTTTAAAGGTGGTTTAAAGGTGTTTG